ATAGACTACCTTACCTCTTTGACTAATTGTTGACGCAAATCTTCTTCATAATCTCCGTGTCTGTCCGGAATCAAAACTTTCACTGCAACGGTAGTGTCTGAGATGTTGGGCCTTCTGCCCAACATGTCCTTGGCGATGTTTTTCTTTATCGTTGCCTTGTATACCACTCCAAATGCCCCATTACCAACAGGAACAGTGTCTAGTTTTAGGTCTTTTTTTAGACAGCAATAGATTAAACCTCCATGAATGCTTGTCTCCAACCATTCTTTATAAGATATCTGAGACATTGTCAAAGTACGGTAAACGCAAGGAGCAGAAGTGTTGATCAACTATATTATGACGATCACTAGGTGTTCGATGTGCTCACGTGATTACGGATAGTGTAATCATTGTCTATACTAATTAATATGCATAATTTAAGTTTGGCCATAACGAAAATAACAATTACATTGCAGTCGTGTGTCCGTAATCTTGATGGTAATTCTTAGTGGTAAAAAAATAACAAAGTTTACTCTTTTGCCGAAGTTGGAAATACGATCGTTCTTGTGGCTTTCCTTCCCACCTGACCGGGATCGGCATTAGTCGAACCGTACAATATGCTCACATGATTTACGAATGTAATCATTGACACAATAATAAGATACATTTTCATCGCTCACCTAGATATGTTACTAATTTTTTTTTTTTGACTTTTTCTGGATACTTGTCCTTAATATTAACTAACACCCCGTGTGTACGGTAAATTTTGAGTGTACGGATAGCTGCTACACCACCACCGGAAGGTGTACGATTTGCGTACATCCAGAAATGCAACTTATTCTGTGTGTAAATTAAATGGGTACACCAAAAGTGTAAGTTAATCAGCACACCCCAGGCGCATGCACGGATTAATGTGTAGAGAGCAATTCGTTATTACATATCGAAGACTGATATCCGGGTCAATATTGTATTTTCTCTACTAGGTGTAAAGTTTGACTTAATATTTAATTGCTCATTATTAGGATATGCTTTAGATCTCAAGCACGTCACTCTATGATATTATTGAGTACAAATTCTTATTCTTGAAGCAGCGAATATTTCGAATAATATTCTTAAGCTTTAAAAAACCTTATATCATAAACTTTTATGTGGTACATTAAGCCTTCTAAAGCAAAATCTATATTTCTTCAATACTGTAATTTTTTTATGTCAGCCGGAATTATAGAATACTGCGTAAATTTAACTGGCTTTCTACGTCAATTTTGTTTATTATTATGTCAAGTTTTTCTATATGCGATTAACAAATTTGCTTAAGCTCTCTACATATTAATTTGTGCTTGCGGCTGGGAGATGTACTGATTAACTTACAATCTTTTGGTGGACCCATTTAATTTACACGCAGAATAAGTCACACTTCTGGGTGTACGCAAATAATTGTACACTTCTGGTGTATCTGTTATCTTACACTCAGGGTGTATAAGAATTTGTCGTACACCCATTAACCGTCTAATGCAAATCCTATTTCTTATGCATATTATTATGCATAAGGAAGCCCTCCACCTTTCAATCGTAAAACGTACGGTATTTGGTTTAATAGAGTATTTGCAATATGTGACGCTATATACAATGCTCTTCATAATACTAACATTTTTTTTCTTACTTTTTCCATATTAATATGTAAATCGGTTATTTTCCATTGATTATGAAAGAATAACATTGTCACTATGGCAAAGATAACGATTTTTCTGTTGCTATGGGAGAAGAAGGTGATCGACTATAAAAAGCAAGCTCCCCAAAGCCGTGTGGGTAGGCTCATCAGGTATATAGTTACGAAAAATCCACATAAAAAATTACTGTAAACGTGTATTTGTATGTTTAAAAACGGTCGGAAAAATTCGTATAAAGCTTATCTGAAGTAATTGAAGAAAAGTCCGAAATTTTAATATAGAAAATGATACACGCTAATGACGAACGAAAATGCATTATGATATCAAGTAATAAGGTGGATATTTACTTATAGAGAGAAGTTAATAAAGTAGAGATAAATGCATTGTACTAATTGGTAACAAAATAAAAAAAACTCCCCACAAAAAATAGTACAAATTTTTGTTAAATGTAGCTGGTGTCTTGCTTCGCGTACATTATTCTTTCTGGAATATCTATTGCCAAATTACATATCTAAGCATAACTTTTATTATCGAGCTTAATGAAAATGGCGTAGCATCATAGTTCAAAATTGCACCCCGCAAGTGTCCACTACACTTGCTTAAAAAATGTTCACATTTTGATTAAATAAATACAGTATGTTTATAGCAATTTTTCGCAATTTGATTAAATGGATACTTTTATTATTCACTATATCAATGCACACAGCATGCTTTTAAAGACAATGAGTTAAAGTTTATACAAAAAATTATTCGCCAATAAACTTGAGCACATTATTTGTTAAACGTTTACTGTTTCCTGTGTTAATAATCAGATTGTGATAATTTGGTCCAAATAGTCGTTAGACTGGTAATTCAGCATAATTTATTTGTGTTTTCCCTTTTGGCATAATCCTTCAAGCGCATTTTTTTTTTTGCTATCTGCTCTCCGAGCAAAGTTACAAATTTTTGCAAAAAATAAATTGTTAAAATTAAAACGATATTCTCACTGCGTCTTTACTTAAGTTTCGCTAAGCACATTGAGCAAGTAAGATAAAAACAGCGTATAAATTAATTTCATAACGTCTTTGTAAAAATATTCCTTATTTGGACTTATACAATAATTTTTTATAATTGTTTAGATAACCGCATCTGGTAAGTACTATTGTAAATAGAGCGTAACAGATTAACTCCAGAGTAACATGTAGTATTTGATATAATTATTATACCTCCTCAAGCTATTCGTATCCATTCATAGTGTGCTCTTAACTTTATTTGTCTTATTATAATTGATACAACCAACGATATAACCTTAATCTATTTTCTTTATCATATTAAGGCTGTCTTTGACAATCAGAATCGTACTGCATCCGTTTTGTTTGATTGTATTTTACCTCCGCTTTCCTATACGAACACAGATTGTAAAAATAAAATTTTAGATAACAATTTTGCCTGTCAAACCGAATCATCTTCTCTTATGCAATCACGTTTTCCTGTATGTACATTGATGCAGATCAGCGGTAACTAAAAATAGACTGTTGGTCAACGAAACTTGTCACAATGTGTAACCGTACGTGCATGCACATTTTCGTGCTTTTTATTTTGACGTTACAATCGCCTTATCGTTAAATTATACGACACATTAGGTGCTACAAAATATCAAATTCGTGGAACACTATATCGAAAAGGTAAAACTCATAGTCGACATCTAAACAGCGCACAACACGATTTTCTTCAATCTTTCACGTATATAAATGTACTTTCTTGTTTGCCCGGCCAGTTTTCACTGTAAAAACAGCAGAAACAAGTCAATCCATGCATATATAAACGATGACTTTTAAATCAACAATTGTAATTCTCTTGTTTGCGCTTCTTTGTCTATTGGGTCACGTCAGTGCAAAAACACCTGTCGGTGCAGTCAGAGTCGATCTCCGTAAGTATAATCTTTTTAATAATTAGTAACTTATGTGGTCTTACATATTAATCTACTCTTATTTTGAAGAATATGGAGAAGAATTACCTGATAAAGATCCAGGAGGTAAGTTATAACACAAATGCCACCCACATTAATTAACGATATCTTCTTATAATACTAATAATTTATTATTATTACTTTTAACAGCCGACCTCAGTAAGAACCAGTTACTGCTCAAGCAATTTATATAATATTGTGTTTACTAAATTATTACGTGTTATTAATGCTGTAGGCGACCCGTATGTTAAGTTATGGGTCGATGGAAATCCTAAACAAAAGTCGAAAGTCGTGCATAATGACTTAGACCCTACTTTTTATCAGACTTTTTACTTCCTACTTTACCCGGGTTTTCAAAATCTCCATTTTGAAGTTCGAGATCGTGATCCTGGTCATAAACATGACGATCTGGTACATACAACTGTAACGAAATTTTCTAATCGAATCAGTACATGACAAATGCTAACTTCTATTGTTATTAGCTGGGTAGGTCTGTAATTAATTTGAACGGTTTTTGTAAACCAGCTCCAACTTCGTGCTCTGATACCGCATTTGCCGTGTTAGACGGTAATTCCTCAAGATATCTCTTTGTAACCATCACAATTTCTTAAATAGTTGGGTGTAATAAATATGCAAAACTTTGGTATAATAAAGATTACTAAGTTTTGCACTTGTAGTAATAAATTGCTACTAGTTTGCTGACTCTTGCAACTATTGTGTGCAAATTGTTGACTTTATTTTTCTGAACATAAGGCAACAACGACGTAATTAAATTTACTGAAAGT